ATTTTTTGGTTGCAGCCATCATTGTTGTTTGGCAGGTCTGGGCTGGGGATTCGAACCCACCACCTTAGGTGTATGTGGCTGGCGCCTTAGCTGCTTGAGCCACAGGCGCCGAGCCCCGGCAACTTCTGCCAGACCCCGCAGGCACTTGCCTCTGTCTGTTCTGTGGCTCTGGTCTGTAGTGTCCTCTCCACAGCAAACAGTGAAAGAGCACAGAGGAAGCAGAGAGGATCAAACATTGGAGGATTTCCAGTTCCTGGTCTGGAAATGGCACCCGAGGCTTCCCTTCATATTCCACTGGCTTGTGCCCAGTCCTTTGTCCATACCTGGCTGTAAGGGGAGCTGGGAAATGTGGTCCAGCCCCAAAGAAAGAAGCAGGTTTGGAGAGAGGTCAGCCAATCTCTTCTGCATCTGGTGAACACCTGCTCATTTGTCCACCTCTGGTGTCATCTCCAGGCAGCCTTCTCTGATCCCCTTCTCCTCAACATTCTTTGTCCCTGACTCAGTTATATTAGTACTTCTCAAACATCAATATGTGTTTTATGTAATAATTAAAACATTAAAAAAATTAAAAAAGGCAAAAACAATATGTTTTGAGGTCACTATGGATTTTGCTTTTTTTGAGACAGAGTCTTGCTTTGTCATCAGGCTAGAGTGCCAAGGTGTCATCATAGCTCACCACAACCTCAAACTCTTGGACTCCGGCTTGGCACCTATGGCTCAAGTGGCTAAGGCGCCAGCCACATACACCTAAGGTGGTGGGTTCGAATCAAGCCTGGGCCCGCCAAACAACAATGATGGCTGCAACCAAAAAAAATAAAAATAGCCAGGCGTTGTGGCGGGTGCCTGTGGTCCCAGCTACTTGAGAGGCAGAGGCAGGAGACTCGCTTGAGCCCAGGAGAGGCCTGATATTTAGCCCCTGCTTGTGATCCTTGCACCCTCTAGTGGCCATGGGAAGAAAAGAGGCCCTCACTGGAGAGTTAGGAGCTGGGTCCCAATGGGCATTGCACTGTCAGGGTCTCCTGTCCCTGCACCCCACTGGGCAACAGAAGAGAGAACCCAGAAGAAGGGGTGGTCCCCTCTGACATCTTCTAAAGAACCCAATAAACATTCGACTCTATGAAATACATGTTGTCCCAGCCTGTTAGCTCCAAAAGGAATCTTATTTTCTCCTTTTACTTTTACTATAGAAACAAAAATAGATTCTTATCTATTTTTGTAAAGTTAAAAAAAAATTCTTTGTTGACTATTGGGAAAACCTCCTTGAGATGTATCTGACATAATTTTCCTTTATTAAAATAGTTCCACATCACCCAGCTTATTTCTGAACCTGGAGCCAAGACCATTTGAGTCTCTCTGTATGGGCTTCAGAGAGGAAGAGAGTCTTGTGAAGTTATCTGTAATATTGTTTGAATACTCTATGTCTTTTGGGAGGAAGAAGGTCTATCCCTTTCATCAGCTAATAGAAGAGATCACAGAGTCTAAGCTCTCAAAACTTAAGGATTGCCGAAATCCTTGTTTCTTAGTGTGGCCTCTGAGGCTCTCATGATCTAGCCCTTGCCTACATCTGGCCACTTTTCCAAAAGTAAAAATATAAACAGAAACAACCAAAACCTAGCCCTCTTTATTTGTCTGCTGTCCTAGCAGAAGGAGCTGCTGTCGCCTCAACCCCCACATCTCTAGGGCTTGACACATAGGACTCTGCTTCCTGTTCCTGGTCTAGTTGGATGTTTCTGGCAAACAGGCAACTTCTTTTTTTTTTTTTTTTTTTGA